GCGTGTCCGGCTCTCCCCACCCCCACGATCCCGTCCCAGGACCCTCCTCACCCCACTTCCCCTGGGCGCCTACCTCCTCGGTCAGCTCCAATGTCACTCCCAGGGAGGCCCCCCCCACCCAAAACCCCACCGTGACCCTGTGGGGAGCAGGGAGCTGATGAGTGCGGGTGGGCCGGGGGGTGACAGCTCAGTTCTTCATCGGAGAAGGGTCCCCCAGAGAGGGACTGCAGCAGGGCGGCCGGCCGGAGAGGGGTGCACTGGAGGGTGGTGGGCAGGGGCCGCAGTGGGCAGCAGGGGATGACTGAACCCGTCCAGGAGGGAGGCGGAGACTAAGCACAGGCAAGGGCACCGCGGCCACCTGCGGCTCTGCCTGAGGCTCCGGCGGGCCACGGGCTCCCTGCTGTCAGTCAGAGAGGCCCCAGAGCGGGGACACCCCCAGGGCGCGGTCAGAACCAGGGCCCCTCCTTCCCGACGCCACCACCGAGGATGGGGGGGGTGGGCAGCGCCCGTGAGGAGCAGGGCTCTGCCTGCCCCACTCTGTGTCCCAGCCGCGACTTCAGGTCGGCGGCTTCACTTCTCTGGGCCTGGCTTCCCTTCCCGGCCACAGTGACGACGCCCGCAGCACAGGGGCGCTGCGAGAGCCACACGTACAGTGCCGAGAACACCGCCCGTCCACAGGAAGTGGTGTGGACGCTGAGAGGGGAGCTGCCTCCTGGACGTGGCCAGCGGGGCCCAAATTAAAAGCAAGCAGACCAACAAAACCAGTCTGGCAGCCATTTCTGCACAGGGCCTCCCTTCAGGGGGCAGCCGGCCCTGAACCGTCTGCCTGTGCGCGGACTGACCTGCCTCTACGGCCCTGAACTGCCCGCCTGCACTGTGGCCCTCTGAGCCAGCCCTCACGGAGGAGTTCCTGGGTTGTATTCCAACCAGCAGGGCTGGGACTTTCTCTCTCCCATCAGAGATGGGCAGCTGCATCCCCATCAGCATCTTTGCCAACCAATTAGAGTGCTTCTGTTTTGACCTATGAGAACAGGGCATTTTAGACCAATCACACTGCAAGAGTTTGGAGTCCTCATTTGCATGAGGACAGACTAATCAGAGACCAGGGTGGGGACTTTCCCCTCTGCCTCCAAAAGCACACTTCCCTTTTCCCCCATAGGCAGAAGACGGTTCCCCCAGCTGCAGCTGAAGCGCTGAGGACGTCTCCCCGGAACGGGGCAGAGTGAGGCCGCCCCACCCCAGGGCTGCCCAGGACAGAGCGAGGCCGCCCCACCCCAGGGCTGCCCACAGCTGTGCTGCTTCAGAACCGAGCTGCACCCTCGCAGAGCCGTTCGCACTGTTCTGAACAAGGCTTCCTTCCCCACGGCACCCCAGCTGTGGGCTCCTGGTGGTGTTGACGCCAAGGACCACTGGTGGACAGTTATCAACAAAACTCGGCCAATAAAACTGTCCCCACTGTCATCCTCAGCATCAACATGATGTCATTACTGCTGTCATTAGTACCATGACCACTAGACCACTGCCAGGGCACCCGAGGGACATCACTGCATCTTCACAAAAGGACGTGTTACTGCGCTCCGAGAGGAGAAAAGCAGGTACGGAAGCAGCTCACACAGCTCTGCCAGCATCGCACTGGGGGGTGGAGCCTGTTTGTCTGCGTCTGCAGGCCCTGCGTCAGCCACACTGTGCCACCGTCGGAGGGGCGGGGCAGGACTCGCGACGCACTGCGACGGACCGGCACATACACTGCGGCAGGCGTGCCTCTGGGGTCCTGGGATGCACCCAGGAGTGCACCCAGGACCAGGGGAAGCCTCTGCCGTCACACGTGCGACAGGACGGCTAGGAGGGAAATGTCACGTGGTGCGAGTGCACGGCGGAGAATCCAAACGAAGAGTGCTGTGTCGGGCCTTCCGAAGGAGGCTAAGTCCAAGACGAAAACCCGAAAGACGACCGACAGGGCCCAGCCGACCGCACAGCAGGGGCGGGGCCTTTCCAGGCTGGGAAACAGCTGCAACAGGGAGCCCACGCGGAAACCAAACCAAAACCGTGTCTTGAGGAACCAAGCAACCCAGCGTGGCCGAAGACCAGTGGGGGAGGGGGTCCGGGGGAGTGGTCCTCCAGGAGACCAGAGACGCAGGCAGGAGCCGGGCGCTGCAGGGGGGTCCCCCACGAGGGGGACTGCGAATTTCATGCTGAAGGAAATGCAGGAGCACAGGAAAGTGGCGGGACCTGACTGGCATTTTTGAAAGACTCTCAGCATGATGGGGTGGGAAACTATTTCAGAGAGGCAGGAACACAAAGGCAGAAATCTGGGCTATTTTGGTGGTTCTGACCAGAGAGGTAAGCGGCTTAGACTGGAGGGGGGTGGGCATCTGGAGGTGAACAGATTCTGGTACGCGCTCCGGAGGTGGAGTGGAAAGGGCTTGAACTGAGTGAAAAAGGAGAGGGCAAGAGTGAGTTCTCTATTTTTAGCTCGAGCAGCTGGGGGAGCACCGGTGGAGCCTGCCGAAACGAGCAGATTAGCAGAGGCACAGGCTGCGGCCGGTGACAGTGGCTGGGGACATGGGAGATGCCAGCCCAGACACACACCTGCTCACACCTGCTCGGTAGGCACCTGGGAGTCAGGGAGGGGGAGTTCTGGGGGGCTCTGCTCACCCTCTGTCTGGCTTCACAGAAGACCGAAGATAAAGAAAAGAGCGAGAGAAAAAAAATAGCTCTTAGGGTGCACGGCGGGAACATTCCGGAACAATGTAAAGCCCCGGGACGAGCCGTTGGACTCTTCGTGAAGCCACGTCACTAACACGATCTGAAAAGCGTCATCTCTGCTGAGGACAGCGGCACGGGAGAGCCTGAGGGTTAAGGCCAATGAGATTCACGCACAAGGAGTGACACTATGGGGGGGGGGCTCCTACTCCCTCACTCTTTCAAGGCTGCAGGGCAGGCCCCAGACCGGAGAGGTCAGAGCGCCCCGCAGGACGCTCGCTGGCCGTGCTCCTGAAATCCCATCCTACTCGAAGAGACCCCCGTGCGTGCCCATGTGTGACAAAAATGTCGCACACGTGCAGACACGCAGGACGCACACGGATGCGAGAAAGAGCAGAAACGGACACGATCGCAGAGACAGACTCAGGAGGAACCGAGGACCAAAGTACACAAACAGCCCCGGCAGACTGACAACTAGCAAGCTTTGGCTTTCATTTGTGGTCACATCGAATAGTTTCTGGGCCAAAGCGCCAGGGAACACTCAGCTGTAACCCCACGCTTTAAAATCACCGTCCAGTGAACCGTCCCCATGAAACACTCCCCTGTGACGACGGCGTCCCAGGGACTACGGCAGGGGAGAACGAGCATTTCCATCACAGAGGCAGCACTTCTAAACAGGAAACACGCTAAACACGCAAACCCCTCTGGGTGTGTATTTTAACAGGTAAGAGGTTTCAGTGTTTCCTTGAAGCCGCTGCTAAGCTGTGGTTAGAGGAACCTCCAGAAAGTGTAAATACTGCAAGTCATTTCTAAGAATCCGTCTTTCAAACGGCCTGCAGCAGGAAAGGCCGGTGTTTCCCTATGTTGCTTCCCGGCACGTTCTGTTCACAGTTAACGCCGTGGTGCCGGTGCCGGCGCCGGTGCCGGTGCGGGGATGCTTCCTGCAGGCACCTCGGAACACGTGCGATGTGAGAGTGCCATTCCGAGGTGTTGAAACTTTCAGACTATGGTGCCCGAAAGCTTATCTCGAGCATTCGGTTTCCCCATAACGGCCAAACGCCGTCGCTGGTGCCGCAAACCCACCCAGCCCCCGCTCCCGTGGCCGGAATGGGAACCAGACCTGCCGCCCAGGGCAAGGAAGCGCAGTCCAGAGAGGCAGCTCTCCTGTTCTCTCAGCTCACGGGTGCGGCCAGAGACCAGACTCTGGAAATGCTACACACACACCCCTTTGTCATTTAGCTGATGACACCTGGAGACGAGAATCATTTCCACTCCTTAAAGGAGAAGCTCTGTTATCTCCCATTATGATTCCTCCCTTCTTGCTAAAACAGGACTGGAAATATAAATGGAAGTAAAGGGTTGTGACGAAACTGAAAAGGTGTTTCCTGCCCCTTTCTGGCGGGCTCACCTCACCTCGCGCTGACCTGTGAATGGGGCCCGAGGTTTGAATGTTCTGCGTAAAGGACCTGAGGGGCAAAGCAGCCCTTGCCAACCGGCTTCCCCCAGAGTGTTCACCCACCAGCAGGTCACGGCCCCAGGTGGCCCACAACCTGCAGAGAACAGCCGTGGAGACCCCCGTCTCCATTTCTGCTCCACAGCCCCTCCGCGAGTGGCCGGAGGCATTCACAGGCCCAGGCTCCAAATCGGAACCCACCCGCGCATCGTCTTCCCTGGGTGCGTGAGCCCCCTCCACCCTGCTTTCAAAACCCGGGCACGCATCTGGGGGGCGACTCCACAGCTCTTGCCCCGTCTGCAAGGGGTCTCACTAGTGTGACAGCCCAGGAGCCACCGTGCCACTGCCTCCTGCAGCCTCGCATCAGAAAGCCGTGGGCCGGCAGGGACAGCACGTGGCTTTGACACACAAGTCTCAGGACCTGGGGCCAGTCGCCGCCTCTCTGCACCAGGCGAGCTTCCCTCCCCCGCCTACAAAAATGTACAAAGACACCTACTCCCAGGGAGTCGATGGAGAGTAAATAATCGGGGCGCTGACCACAAATTCCTAACTTATGAAAGTTATTCCCGTTGCGCAAGAAGATAAAAATCACCAAAGATGCTTTCTATGTCCCCATGTGACAACTGAGGCTCAACTGTCACTTCTCGTGTCCACACACACACACCGACAACAGGACAGACCACACTCAGCACCGTGCGCACCCATGCCGGACAGCTCACGCAGAGCAGTGGGGTCCAGGCTGGGGCCCACCAGAGAGAGACAGAAGCAAAATCGTTGGGTGACATCGAACTCCAGAAACGGAAGTATTTAAAACGAACCCCTTCGGGAGGGTCTCCACACTTACCAGACCTTAAGAGAGGCGGTGGAGAAGAGGCGACTGCGCCGGGCGCGCGGGCCATTTCAAAGCGTCGGCTCTAATCACAAGCGTCACAGGCTAAACTACAGCGATTTTCCCTTCTGTTTAGTGAGGGTTAGAAGCAGTCAGCATTAGATTCATTGGAAGCGGTGTGAGCAGTTGTTAACACGATGCAGTGTGCAATGGAGACAATAATCAAGGTTGATTAGACTTTTATTTTCTCTTTATGACTTGCAAATGTGCTTTGCGTTGGTAAGTTACAGTTGCTTACATGAATTAGGCAGAGATACAAAACATCCGCTCATCAAATGTTACCTAAGAGTACCCTTTCCCATTGAGCAGCGGAGTGATGATGCTACTATGTCTATGTAACAATGCTCGGAACTCTGCGGGGGTCTCTGTTGGAATCGCTAGTCCAACAGTTTCCAACAAAGCTCTCTTTAGATAGTCTTCTAAAAGTAACGAGAATCAGACTGATTGTTTTTAATGACATAGGATGTCAGTGACTCACTCAAGAAACTTTGTAGTTTATGTTGCAGAATTAGAAGAATCTGAAACCTCAACTAATTTGGAGTAATGAGTTCAAATGGCCTCTCTCCAGTATGCTGAATTCCTTTGCACATGAAACTGAATTTAAGTGACTGCATTCAACATTTAAATAAAATTTGAACTTTTTTTTCAGTTAAGAAAGGGGAGGTTAGGTTTTCAAAGCTTACTGTTACGACATGCATTTCAGAGGAAATAAAGACTAGAGAAGAAAATAAACCCTATATACTTATTAAGGGGAAAGAGAAATGCTTTTGAAATATATTTTGAGGGCAGAGCTCAGTTCCTGTAAAAAACTCAGATGGTTCTCTGTGATCAGATACTATCAATCCAATAATCCTTTATAACCCAGGCATATGTGCCATTAGTGGTCAACTTGATACTTCAATATGAAACAACGGTTTTAAGAAAAAGTGTGAAACAAAAATATATGTGACTTCCCAAGTATCTGTATTGACTCAAATGTACTAAGGGCTACTTTTTGAGAACTTCTCTCCTTTCTTGGGAGTTTTGTTATCACCTTAATAAGCACGGAACTTTTTTAAGGTTTAAAAACAATGAAATTAGCGACAAAGATTGGGTAAATTTCTTGTGTGATTTATGAAATTAGATAATTTCTTCAAATTAAAAAAAAAAAGGCAGAGTGGACAACAGACAACTGAGACCTTAAATGGGAAGAGCCCAAAACCTCCCCTTGGCTGAGAAAGGAACTGTTCTCTCTGAACCTCAAGGCCAAGGCAGAGCCAAGTGTTCCTAGGGCCAGGCGTCTGTTTTCCGAGTTAGCAACACTGACATTGGCATCTGCCGGCTCCGACACAGAGTAACAAAGACTCTGGGCTGCAGACTCTGCAGACTCTGCAGACTCCGCGTTCCTGTTTACAGGCTCGCTGTCAGCTCAGGATCCCACGCAGCCAGCGCGGAGTCAGGGCCGTTTCCATGCTGGCTCACTCGCAGAGGGACTTGTCAGCCACAAGTGCTAACTTCCAAGTGTGACTTTGCAATTTGGAGAAGCCAGCTCAGGACACTGGAACTGTAGACTGCCTGCCTGCCTGCGCGGCGTCGTGGGGCCGCGGTGGCCTCGGGCTTGAGCCCCGCCCGGGGAACTAGGCGCCCTGAGGCCACTTGCCCGGGGGGTGGGGGGGACCGGCTTGAGCCCTGGCTGCGCTCCACGCGACCCCCTTCGTGGCCTGAGCCCTGTCCCCCTTCAAGTCTGCCAGCAAGGACAAACTGGCCGGGGGCTCAGAGCCGGAGAGGAATGTGAAAGGGGCCCGGCCCAAGGCAGCGAGCAGACCGCAGTCCTGTCTGAGAGTGAAGCCATCTGACTTTTGGGGACACACAGAAGGGCACCCTCTCGTTGGCAGGAACGGGGGTCGCCCACTGATTTCTAGGGAGGAAGCCTCCGGGCGAAGTCGGTGTTACCACTACTTTATGGGGGGGGGGGCGCACAAGGAGTAACGCTGGGGCCACCCCCTCATTTCTGGGGCGCGGGGGGGAGACCGCGGGCGGAAGGCCGGGCGGCCGACTGCTCTCGAAGGGGACACACGCGGGCACGGGCTCACTCCGGGACCCCCCCTGCCCCCCGCCCAAGGCGCTCGGGGGGAGGGGCGCCCCAGCTTGCAAACCTGAGCGCTTGGCCCGGGCTCTCCGCTCCAAGACCGTCCAGCTCACTTCGGCCATGCGCCCCGCCGCCCCCGCCATCGCGCCGGAGCCGCCACTTGGGCCACGGCCCCCGGGGCCGCCTGTCAACGCTGCCGGGCCGGCCCCGCCCCCCCGCTCACGACACTGTCGCGAGGCGCGCCGGCCGGAAGTGAGCGCGAGGGCCGCTCCCCGCTCGCCCCTCGGCCGCCGCCGCGTCAGTCGGAGGGTCGGCCCGTGGGGCGAGGGCGACGGGGCGGGCGGCGGCTCGGGCGGGCGGCGGGACGGCGCGCGGGGGCGCGCGGCGGCGGCGGGCGGGCGGCGGCGCGGTGCTTTCCGGCTGCCGTCGAGCGCGGCGCGGGGCCGGCGGGCGGGGCCGAGGGGCGGCCATGGCGGCGGCGGGCCGGCTGCCGGGCGCCTGGGCGCTGTGGGCGCCGCTGCTCGGGGGGCTCGCGCTGCTGGCAGTCGGGCCGGCCCCGGCTCGGGCGCTGCACAACGTCACGGCCGAACTCTTCGGGGCGGAGGCCTGGGGCACCCTGGCGGCCTTCGGAGACCTCAACTCCGACAAGCAGACGGACCTCTTCGTGCTGCGGGAAAGTCAGTGCCGGCCGGCCCGCCCGCCCTCCCTCCCTCCCTCCCTCCCCCCGCGTCCCCGGGCCCCTCGCGGGCCCCGCGTCCCCGGCGCGGGGGCCTGGCCCCCTCGGTCGCCCGGCCCCTCTCTCCCAGCCCCGGCTCTGTCGCCCTTCCCCTCCAGCATCCTGGACAGCTCGCCCGCCCCTCCGCCCTCCCCGCCCCCCCAGGCCCGGCCCGGCCCCCCCCCCGGTGTGTGTACCGCGCCCCAGAGCCCCGGAATCACCCCAGGTGTTTTCCCCCCAGGAGCCCGCGGCTTCCCCCCTTGCACCCCTCCTCCCCGTGGAATCGCCCGCCCCCCCAAGCCCTTCCTGGTTCCCGGGAGTCTCCGGAACCACGATCCCTCCGAGGCCCCCGCCCCATCTCCTCCCCACCCCGCCCGTTCGTGCCCTTCAGTGGACGGCAAACCACGCGTCTCCACCGCTGCCTGTCCGAGGCCTTCCCCTGCCTCCCCCGGGACCTCACTGGTCGCCCCTCCCTGTGTCAGGGCCCCAGCTTTCCCGGGAGCTCCCGGCGCCCTCAACTCTGCGCAGCTCGCACGCGCGGTTTGCAAGGACCCCGACCGCGGATAAACCGCAGGGGAAAGAGTTCTCCACCTGCCGGTCCGCCCCGCCCCTCCCGAGCTGCCTCGGCTCCTGTGGGCAGCTGGCCCGTCCTTGCTTTGGTCTCTACCCTAGTTTTCGCTATCTCTGCTTCCTGTGCCAGCCTGAGGTTCTTGGGAGTTCCTTGCTTTACCCCTCCCAGAACAGGGTTCTGTTTTGTTTTGTTTATTTTGATGCTGACAAATGGCGTTAGAGGGTCTGGGCATTCTTGAGAACCTGCAGAGCCAGGTGCTGTTTAAGGCCAAGGCTACCAAGAAAGGAGTGAAGGGCAGAGCTTCACTGAGGGGATCCTGGCCCAGACTTCTCCCCGCCCTTGCGAAGGCCCCAGAGCCCCTGGTGGCCCCTGGACATTTTCCCTACCTTTGTAGGACTCCATGTGTTCCCCTACTCCATCCGAACTGGACACAGACACTTCAAGTTAAGGGTGGCTGGTGTTTGATTGAACAGTTCTAAACGTCTGCTCCCCTGAATGCTCACTGAGTTCCAAGAATGCATCTACCCAGGGGAAGGTTCTGCGGCAGCCACAAGAGGATGATTGCATGATTCAGCTTTTTCTGCTTAAATACATAATCGTGGTGTTATTAGTCAGATGCCTACTGTCCGAGATTCTGTCCTTCGAGCGATGCAGCTGATAAACAGCCTTACAAGGGTCTTCGTTGTTAGGTTTGGGGAAGCCGAGGCCTGACACAGAGTTACAAGGCAGGTTCTTTTCATGGTTCTTTTAAGTCAACTGCCCTGACTTGGGGCAGAGGCCATCAGTGGGCTCAGGCTGTCTCGACCAGCTACCTCTGAGCACTGCTGGGTTTGTGACGCGCTGCTAGGAATCACCATCCCGTCGGACACGCAGGGCTGACCTTGAGAGGGCAGGTGAACTGGAGTCAAGTAAAGTTTTCTTGTTGAGGACGGTGCCTGGGAAAGTCTTGGAAACATTAGTTGGATGTCCTACCAAGGAACCGTGTTCTAATATCCTATATCCGCTTCTTTTAGGAAATGATTTAATCGTCTTTTTGGCAGACCAGAACGCACCCTATTTTAAACCCAAAGTGAAGGTGTCCTTGAGGTAAGTACATGAGTGTTTGTTCCTGTAAAACAGTCATTAGTGTGATAAGAGAGACGCGATTGCCAGCCTTTGAAATCGGCTTCACCCAGCCGCAGTATTGACACAAGGGGATGAGTGGGGTGTCATTTGTCTGGAACCATGGTGACTGTGTCAGAGTTTACAAACCACTTGCTTTACAAGCGCACGCGGTGAATGAGCCCAGGTCAGCTCCTGCACTCCCTCGCCGTTCCCTTGCAGTCCGATGGGCTCTCCTGAGTGTGTTGCGGACTGTCTGTCCCTCCGCCTGAGTGTGCACCTCACTCACAGACTCACCAGTTCAGCTGTGTTGGGGGTGGGGGGGACGGAGAGGGGGGTTTGCACGGGAGTTGGGGGGAAGAGGCCAGTCCATTCGTTTTTATTTTTCCTTAGTTATTGACTAGTGGGTGGTGAGTTTTTGAGGTCGATTTTGAATGCATTCAAATCAGGATACATTTTTTACATGTTCAAATAATGATTCTTCTCTTATATGACTGGGTTGCGTAAAACCCGGTGACCGCCACCAATAGTGAGCTCACATACTCTTGAAGCTACAAGCAGCGAGGGTTGATTGGTGGCTGGTTCCGGGCGGAAGCCATGAGTCAGCGCAGGCTGCAGGGGCCGCTCCCAGAAAGCTGTGGGACTTGAGCTTGACCTTAGGGAAACCTCAGGTGAGGGCTTGCCAGCTGGGGACTCAGCCCGGTCAGGGGGCGGCAGTGAGAACAGCTCGGTGGCGGGAGGAGGAGCTGGGAGGGGTTGCCCGATGGAAGCCAGGGGCACACCCTGGGGAGCTGGGGGTGGGGAGATGCGATCAGGGCGGACGGGGCACCGCCATCGATACCAGCGTGAGTCTGGACTCAGCCCCCCGAGATGTGGGCAGTTGTTCCGGGTTCTTGTTTAAGGAGAGACGACGAAAACAGTGTTTTAAGTTGATGTCCTCGTTAGTCACATGCAGGATGAACGGGTGCATGGAAAGATAAAAGATTACTTAGGAAGCATTTTTAAAAATTTTTTTCACCTCTCGCCAGTGTGGCTCAGTGGGTTGGGCATCAGCCTGCAAAGCAAAAGGTCGCTGTTTCGATTCCCAGTCAGGCGTGCACCTGGGTTGTGCATTCGGTCCCCAGCGGGGGCACACTCGGGAGGCAGCCAGTCAGTGTTTCTCTCTCACATCAGTGTCTCTCTCCCTGTCTTTTCCCCTTCCTTCCTCTCTATTTTAAAAAAAAAAAAAAACACTCCCCATATGGGCTAATGAGTGCTCAGACTTTACAGTATGTAACTGTGAACATGTAGCCAGAAGTGGCCTGGGGTTAGAACTTCGGGAGGGAAGCTGTAGGTGAGGAAACAGGAACTCCTCCCCTGGAGGGCTGTGCCGAGCCCCGGGCAGCAGCGTGCTGGCCGTGGGACGGGCAGAAGTCGGTGAATGTTACATACGAGACATGAACTGCCTTATATGCAAGATATTTTCTTACATACAAGAAACGATTTTTCTTGGAAGATTGAAAGTTAAGGAAATGTATGGGATATAAAGCACTTGCATTCCACTAAATTCTTTTTTAAATCCCAATTAATTTTTTTTAATGCGGTATTGTTTTATGTACATCAGGTCCCTGAATAGTGTTGTTCTGTTGTGTTCATTGTGACGTTGATGAAATGCCGTAGCGGTAGCCACCGCTCACGTGTGGACGTGGAGACTGTGCTCGCAGAACCAGGCAGCACTCGGGGTTCCCCTTCTGGGCAGCTTCCCCCCTGGAGCGACGGTGGCTCTTGACAAAAGGAAGTGCAGTTTCCTGGGCACACGGCCGTCCTTTCCCTGCGGACGGCCCCTCGTGCTGCCGCAGGCCGTCCATGCATTTTGGGTACCCTCCCCCACCCCAGTGCTCTGCGCCGTGCCCCGCAGGTCCTGCCCGAGGCCTTCCGCAGAGTCACACCTTGGGGCAACCCCTGTGCTGGTCTTTGCCAGTCCCGGTTCCTGGGATCCTGGTCCCTTTTGCTCTTGGCATTTTTGCTTCCACCAGGGAGCGCGTCCTCGGGGAGGTCCCTGAGAAAGGAGGCGTGTGGCGGGTGCCCCCTTCAGTCCCAGACCCTCTCCGCCCACTGGTAGTGGTCCCCGGCCTCTTCTCCTCCGGCTCCACTGGCTGCTGTTGCAACCTTCGGTGTTTTTCTTTCTCCTAGTCCTTCAGATGTGACTTGTTTTCTCTTAAATGTTGGCAGCTACCAGGGTCTCTTTGTCACCCCTTTGCTTTGCGATTCCACGGTGATGTGTCTCAGGGCGGGTCACTTGTCATCGGTCGCACTGGGTGTTAGCTGGGCCCCTTCAAGCGGAGGCCGCTGTCCTCGGGGGCTTTCCGAAATGCTCTGGCCTCACGTCTTTGGTAATTGTTTTGTTTCCTCTTTAAGGAATGCCTGTCAGTTGGTTACTAGACTGCGCGGGTCTTCCTTAATTCCTCTGTTCCTTTATTTTAACTGCGTTTTGTCCTTTTGTTTCATTGTCCTTTCCGGGGGGTTTTCTCAGTGTTATCTTAATCCTTCCGTTGGGTCGGTTACGTCAGCTCTCACAGTCCTCCATCCGCAAGCACTTCTCTTCTCTTACTGGTTTTTTTCTCTTGCCGTGCTGTCTTCAGTATGTTTTTTTAAGTGGACATACTTCCCTTTTGTCTCAAAGTGTAGTTTTGAGGTTTTCTTTTGTTCTCTCTATTATCTTCAGATTTCTCATTGTTTGCTTTTGGCTGTCTTTAACACTGAGTTTCCTTCAAAGGGCAGGGTGTCTGTTCATAGTCGAGAGTAAGGCGCTCGGAAGCTGACTGGGAAACTGCCTCGTGCCCTGCGGGTGTGTTCTGGGCTGAGGGGCCTGCCAGGAACAGGGTCTGGGTGTCGCACTGTCCCTTCCTTAGACCTCCCATCACCCCCCTGTTGTCAGCGCGGAGCCAGAACCCTGCCCTCGGCTGCGCCTTCAATCTCCCACTCCCGAAACCTCCGGAAGGGAACTGCTTGGCTCTGGCCTTCCCTGGGGACGGCCCTGGGCACAGGTAGAAGGGACCGGCGCTCACAGTGCAGACTTCACGTGGAACCTGATTCCAGCCCGGTGGTGCCCCACTCTCGCCTCCCGCTGTTTCTGCCGACCCCCCATGCTGAGCCCCGGCGCATTCGGACGGGAGAGCTGCCTTCCTGAGCCCCGGTCTCTGGACGCTGTGGCTGACGGCGTCCTTGCCCTGGCGTCCTTGCCTGGCTCAGTCGTCGGCACCCCCCCCCCCCCCCCGCTCTGTCCTCTCCCGACGCCTTTGTCCGAGCCCCCGTCTGTTTCAGGGTGCTGTTGCCACCAGATCATGAGCGTTTTTGGACGAGTGTTCCCGGCGAGTGTACGCCATGTGCATTACTGCACACTCATGCACAAACACGCACCCATGCAGAGGTGTGCACGTCAAATACAGTTTGCTGCCCAGGAGCACGTGGGGTTGGTCTGTCACCATCTGTACACACCAGGCATTTTGCACGGGGAGGGGAACGTTTTGCTGGAAGTCTTCGGGGACACCGGCACAACCAGAAATACTTCACTGTAACGAGGACCAATTTCAGGTGCCAACACACCGAGGTTGGGTCCTGCTCCGGTCAGCGGTCAGCGAGGGGAGTTCCTGTGTTAGGGAAAGGAGACTGAGGGATCAGATGACGCGGCGTGGCTGCCGGGCCCTGGGCCTGACGCCTGGGGCGGACCGGGCAGACGCAGCACAGGGAGGCCAGTGTCGTGCTGTGCCTCCTCCCTGCTCTTCCGGCGTCTTCCCTGCGTTCACTCTCGACTGTGCACACGTGTACATGCACGGGTTCTGGTGGTACGTAGGAGGTGACTGCCCGCAGTCTGTCTGGAAACTTGCTGTGTGGCTATTTGCTCTAAGTAGAAATAACTAGAAATTGAATTTAAGGCCCTTTTTTTTTTTGGTTGGGTCACTCAAAAACATCATGACAAGACTTCAGAACGTTAAGGTTTCAAGTTCAATGTAAAGAATTGTAGAACTTTTTCATTAAAAATATAAAATTAGGTATGCGTGTTTTAATACCGTGTTGCCAGTTTGGGTAAAAAGGCACTTAGTTTCCATTGTGAATCGTGAATAGCTTTCAGAAGTAAAACGAGCTTTTAGTTTCTACTCTATATCTCAAATCTGCATTAAAATCCAAAATTAAATATTTTAAAAAATATCTTTTAACGGATAAAATGACAGCGCTACTCTTTGCTGCTTTAGCAGTTCATTATGCGCCTCCATTTGCCGTAAACGCCTTCCAAATATCTCGGTGCCCCGGACAGAAAAGCTAAGGAGAAGCGCCGTCCTGGCCGGCGCTCGCACGTAAAACTGGGGTTTTTCCTGATAGAGCGCAGGCCGGTCTTGTCTCTCACGGCCGCGCCGCGCCCACCCTGAGCTGCTCTGTAGACCAGAGGGGCCCCCAGACGGGACGGGCGATGGGCCGTCGGGAAGGGCGTGGGGCCCGTCAGGACCGAGACTGCGAGACTCCGCACAAACGTTGCGCGGGGAGCGGTCCCTGCGGCACAAGCACACAGGGTCCCCTCCCATGGGACCTCACTGGTGTCCCCGCCCGTCCCTCCAGGAACCACAGCGCCTTGGTGACGGGCGTCGTGCCCGGGGACTATGACGGAGACTCCCAGATGGACGTCCTCCTGACGTACCTGCCCAAAAATCATGCCAGCAGCGAATTAGGAGCTGTCATCTTCTGGGGACAGAACCAAACCTTGGGTGAGTGTGTGTGTGTGTGAGTTCTTAGTATTTGTCATTGGATATCGAAGGAAAAATACGTCTGGTGTCGTTAAGTAACAAAAATTGTGTTCTGAGTCCATCTGAAACGAAATAAGTGCAGTCCTTAAGTGTCAGTGATTGTCTGTAAAAGCTTTTTCAGAAGTCCGCTTTCTGATTTTCCATTATCGCCCGAGAGCTGGTCTGAGGTCGGCTCCAGAAAACAAAATTGGGTCTGGCAAGCCTAAGGGAAAGGGGGGAAGGGGGAGAGGGGAAGGGAGGGAGGGATTCATTAAAGGGTGTTGGTGGCTTACAGAAGAACAGACTCTAGGCTGACCTTCTGGAACAATCCCCGGCCTTCCGGAAGCTACTGCCTTTTCACTGTCAGGACGGGGCCGCGTGCGCCACAGCTGCCGGAGGCCCCGTGCCCAGCACGCTGTGCCGTGTGCACCTGCCCGTGACTCCCGGTTCCGCGGTCAGACTCTGAGAAGACACTGCCTCGTGAGTGGTGATAGTTGGAATTAGTTGGAGATGACTCTTGAAGAGAAGGAAAGAGTATTCTTCCCTAAGGGCAGATGTCAACAATAATACCAAGCGCCTGTAACTTGTGTGTTTGCTTTCTTTGCAGACCCCAACAATATGACCATACTCGATAGGACTTTTCAAGATGAACCTCTAATTATGGAGTGAGTATGCGCTCGCTTCCCTTTGCGTAATTGTAAACCTTTTCACATAAAGCTTTTCACATAAAAACTACTTTGTAGTATAGAATCGACACTGGATTCATTCTCCCTTTGAAGCTGGCGGGGGCCTGTGCTCTTGATGACACGGTAATCATGTGCCACGTTGGAGGAAAGAGAACAACGAAACTCAGTGTTTTAGAAAGAGGAGGGGGAGGTCGTGTTTGGTTTCCGTTTCGGTTGCTTTGCATGTGTCTGCCAGGGATCTGGGTTGATCGACCCGCGTCGTGAATCACAGAATTAAGGGACCTGTTTGGGGGTAAAGCTGTTAGCGCCTAGTGGGCAAACACCAAAGGCACAGGGTCTCCTCCAGCGATGCGCACAGATTTGTTTCTGTGTGGAGGAGAAACTTCTGCCCTTTTCCACAGCTCTTCCTCAGCGTGATCACTCACTGCCTCCAAAGAGACTCATACCAGCAAACCATTAACACGGATTTCAGGGGTTTGGGTAACAGGGTGGAGACCACTTGGGGCCACGTTCTTGTCCTTCCGTGGTTTTCGGAGTCGCAGCCAGAAGCGCAGCAGGTCCCTGGCCGCCGGGGGTCTGCAGGGGCACGGATCCCTCCTCAAGGCTCTGAGCTCGGTTTCCCTCCCCGCGTGCGTTCTCCCACGGTCGTTGCCGAGGGCGGCGGCCACTGCGGGTTGTTCCACCAGCCGGGGATCACTTCGTGGGTTGTTTCTCCGATGTCCACCTGACTGAACCAGATGGGCCGTGGGTCTGAAATCAGTGACGCCGCCTTGTCACTCAGGGGTGGGCTAGGTCAAGCAGAGGTCAGAGACAACCCCAGCAGCGTGTTAGAGCGAAAGGTCCTTTCTGGCTCACCCTGCACGCCCGTCGAGTGTGGGTCAGCAGCGGGCCCTGCTCTGGGCCGTCCCGCAGGGACTTGGGCCATTAGCGGCCTCGCCCTCTGTGCAGCCGGGCTGTGGGGCGCCTGGGGGAGGGGCTGGAGGGTCCAGGCACGAAGATTGCACCCCGCGCCTGGAGGTGACACGTCCCTCCCGCCGACGTGCCGCGGGCCGCGGCGGGTGCTGGTGGGCGTCGGGGGGTTCGCCATGCTTCCGGAGGTCCCCGAGTTCGAGGGCTCAGTAACACGGCTGCCTGGTGTTTCCTTTCCAGCTTCAATGGTGATTTAATCCCCGACGTGTTTGGCATCACGAACGGATCCGGCCAGCCCCAGGTTCTGCTGGGAGGGTGAGTACACGAAGTGGGCTGTGACCCCGCGCTTCCTGGCAGGCGCTGCTGCTGCCGCCGCCGCTGCGGGGCTATGTGTGCGTCTGCGTGAGCGGTTGCTGTCGCCGTTGGGAAGAGCCCAGCTGGTTGGAAATCCTCGTTGTTTTTCTCTTTTCAATTTTTTAAAATATTGATTGAATAGAAAGAGAAACGTCAATCTGTTGTTCCACTTCAGAGTAGTTAGAGGAGGCATCCCCTGGTTGAGTCTCGTGTGCGCCCTGACCGGGGACCGAACCCGCAGCCTTGGAGCATGGGGACGATGCTCCGACCAACGGAGCTGCTCCGCCAGGGCCCGGAAATTCTTGTTCCTGAAGATTTTTAAAGGGTGATTGGTCGCTCTGAGCTTTCCCGGACGGCCCGGAGCTGATCTGCAGGTACGCTCTGTGGAGAGCCAGCCCCGTCCCTCTGTCCATCGGGACGGGAGAGAGACAGACTTTCCCGGTCCCCGTGGACACAGTGGCTCACCGGATGGCTTCAGACCTGGGAGACTGTAGTTTAAGCAGGACGGGTATTGCCGTCTCGGTGGGATCCTCCACCTTGGTCGCGTTAGCTCCCAGATGCTTAGTGATCAGCTCCGTTCCTTTTTCCTCTTGTGTGTTCCGTGAGCAGTGGGTAGCTGCCCACGCGTGTAAACACTCCCCCTCGCAGCCCCGGCGGCCGCTCCGGGCACACTTCGCCCTCCGCCGGCGTGTGCCTGGGGCTCTTCCCGTCCGAGCGTGCCTTCCTCGGCATAAGCCACCTGGAACCTTGCGGGTCAAAGGTCGTTATAGTCCCTCCAGGCTTAAAATAGAATCGCCCTACCGCAAGAATTGACGACGAGATACTTTTCATTACACACCTTCAGCCTGGTAAACTTGTTTCCTGTCTGAGAAGGCAGAACTTTAGTGCGAGAGGACAGGACACGTGTATTTACTGTCCGGCTTCCCGGCGCGTGCGGACGAGTGCCTGACCAGCCTGTGTCCTGGGTGCTCGGAGACCCGGTGACGTTGCCGCCTGTGCTTGGGGGGGTGGTGTGTTCCGACACACGGGCCGTGCTCTAGCCACCGGAGCCGCCTGGCCGGGGGATGCATTTATTTGTGAATAGCTTTTGAAATGTGAGTCACTGGCACAAAGATGAATAAATTGTCAAAATTTAAGGTATTGAGAAAAACTGTTGTATTTCCTATCATTTTTTCTGAAGGTTTGCAATAAAGGATATGAGGGTTTTGATCCTGTTCTTCCTGAGCTCTGAAAGACCTACTGTGAATCCTGAATGGGAAGCCTGTTTGCACCCCAAACTTTGAAAAACCCCGGGAAGAGACCCTTGTTTTGGGGCCAGTTGGATGGTTGGGTGCAGGCCCTGCTCTGCCTTTGCGGCTGAGAGCTGAGTGCGGGCGGGCTGGGGGCCGCACAGCCACTCCTGCCGCGGCGAGACCTGCCGGGACCGCCCGGGGGCCTGTCTCCTGGCCTCGGGCACGGGCTGCGGAGCCCACGGGAAGCCCCCTCGACTGTCACGTGGCGGTGGCTCGGCTCGCTCACGCGGCGGCAGTGCCGTGTCAGATGTTCCCCGCTGGTGATTCTGGATACACCCCGGCCTTTGACGCTGGTGGCGCCCAAGGGCAGGCGGGCTCTCTCCCCCTCTTTGTGCGTCGTGTGTGCTGTGGTGCGCGTCAGCCCCCGGGAGCGGCACTCTGTGCTGTACGGTGTTTTTCACGTAAACGGCTGTTCCAGATTAAACACTAGTAGCTGACCACATTGCAAGCAGCAAGTTTGTCCCCGAGACGTGTCCCGATGCCAGTTTAAAGAACGAGGAGGCACCACTGGGCAGGAGAGGGCTTCCGTGCACAGCACCGTCGGCGTGGCGGCAGCCCGGCAGTGCTGGGGTGCGGGCGGCAGGCAGGGACGCGCCCCTGGGGGACGAGCGGGACGTCGCAGTGCGTTAGGAGAGAGGCACCGAGGCCGTGTCAGCTGCAGAAGGCGCAGACACATGCGCGGGGTGCGAGTGGGGGAGCCGTCAGCAGTGGCATTTCGGGCTGCTCACGCGGCCTCTGAGTGGCAGCCCCATCTGACTCGTCAGGAAAGCTAGGCTGGCTGCCTTCGGCAGCGTGGGCGCCGCGCCGTGTGGGTACGCCGGGGCCCGGAGCGCCTCCAGTCTCATTCCGTGGGGCCAGCAGCTCAGCTTCAAGAGAAGGCCTGCCGTGATCTTTAAATAGAGCGCTGAATGTCCCCACAGGATCCTGCCGGGAAGCCCCTGGCTGTCACTAACCCTGGCGCAGCGCAGGCTCGGAAACCGGAGACTCCCACGGGTCAGACCAGCGTGACCGGTCGGGCCGTAGGGAGGGCGCCCGGCGTTGGAGTGGCAGCAGGGGTACAGGCAGGCGGCCCCTGGTGCCTGGCGCGGAGGGGTCACGGCACAGGGACCAGACGGCACTGAGTCCGCCTGGTGCGGGGCTAGCAAAGTGGGCCGCGTGGTCAGAGGCGAGGCCTCCAGGAGTGAGGTGACCGTGCCCCCCCACCCCTGCCGTCGAGCAGAGGCCACGCCCAGCCGTGAAGTGGCGGGCCTGCCACCTCCGCAGGGACGTGAGGTCGTCGTCGGCGAGCACGGCTCTGAGAGGCCCTGGGGACTGAGGCCGCAGTGGCGCTCGGAATGTCGTTGGCAGCGCTGGGGGAGAGCACATGTGTCTGGTTTTCATCAAAGCCGGCGCGCTGCCGGCGGTGCAGACTTTCTCCGACGCGGACACGGCCTTCAGAGCCACGTGGGGGTCGGCCCAGGCCGAGTTCTCAGCGGCATGGACGCAGGCGTGTGACAGATCGCCGCCTTGCTGCGCTGCACCGCGCACCTCACCTGTGACCGCGTGACGGTGCGTGTCGCATCAGCGGCCCCGAGAAGAGCTGTGGTCGGCTGTCTGTGGTGTGGGCGGGGCTTTCTCCGCCCCCAGGAAAGACCCCGCCTTTTATTTGGGCACTGACAGCACCCTCAGCCCAGAGCAGACGCAACCCCGTGTTCTCCATGCGCCTTCCCTGCCGCCTGCCGCCTCCCGCCGTGACCGGGGACTCATCTGTCCACGCACCACCTTCATTTCACCGCTGGTTGTGTTTGCTGGTGCATCACAGAGAATGTTGCAAGTAGTTACCTTCGTGGAATAATAATATGATACCATGTCACTCAACTCTGTTGTTTAGAAAGAATATGAAAATTAGGATGAGGCTATAACACAAAAGAAAGCCAAAGAACCCTCCAGGCAGCTAGCTGGTCATGTGGTACCCAGTGTCAGAACCCTCCCCACCCCCCCGTGACAGAAGGGGGGGGGCTCTGGTGCGGCTCAGACTCTCTCAGGGTTCCCCTAGCAGCCCCTCCCTGCCCCCAACACACCATTTATATTCCACACTTGAGAAATAAGACTTTTATTGGCGTTTCCATAGAAACACTCTATCCGTTTTTAACTTTGATCTTTTCCTAAAGAAATTTTGTTACTGGAGATACGTTGCTCTCCCATTGTTTCTCACCTAGTTTTTTTGTTTTTTTGTTTTTTTGTTTTTGTTTTTGTTTTGTTTTTTTCCAAAATTAAGCCACAGAAGCAATGAAAAGTTTTAGCCAATGACTTAAAACGCTACATGCTATGACTATCCCAAGTGGCATGTTACTGAAGGGCCCGTATTTGTATCCCCCGAGCCCCCCCCTCCCCCGGGGCTGTGAGGGGCCAGGTGCGTGACTCTTGGGCCCTGGGGCGGGGCCTGGCCCCGCCGCTCTGTCGCGGGTGCAGGTGGCGGCGCTGGGTGCGGGCGAGCTCCTGTCTGCTGCTGAGTCGGAGATGTAAGGTGTGCTTCTCAGACACGCTCGCTCTGCCCCCGCGACACCGGCCGTGTCCAGACGGACATCCTTTGAAGCCACTGTTCAGAAAGGTATTGGCCTCTCGAGAAAAGCATAGCTCTGTAGTTCCTATGCAAAGTAATTTGTAGAATTTCACCATGAATATGGATGTTTTAAAAGCGTCTTGAGTCAGCGCTTCTCCATTAGCATGCATCAGAATTCTGTTTTCCTGATTTACGGAGGAGCCATTTGCTCCGCTCCGCCTCTGTCTGCGTCTGTGCTGGAAACGGGCCGCTCCGCCGCACGCGTGGGGGCCGCGGGGCTGTGGGGCCATGGGGCCGTGCCCTTGAAGGGGTTAAGATGGTGAATGTCGCGTTGCTGTGTCACAGTAATATAGTTTGGGGAAAAGGAAGAAGCAAGCATAGTTAGACCGTTTTTACAGCACACTTGGGGTGAGGTTAGGATATATCATCATTCCAATTTTGGGTAAGAGGCAAGTATAGTTTCCGAAGATGCAAGTCCTCCTTCATTGGATTCCTGCTGCGGCTTCTAAAAACGTGTGTGCCATTGGAGATGCCCCACAGGCATTAGACTTTTCACCCTCCGGAGGCCTGGGCTCAGTCCGCAGGGGTCCAGAGCAGAGGCGGGGGCGCCCTGGGGGCAGCCGCTGGGGCACGAGAGCCAGGATCTGCTGGCGGAGACGGCGCCTGCTCCCTGGTGCCCATCAGATGCTGTTGGGGACAGTGCCCTAGGATCCCCTAGTCCGCCCCCCAGTGAGGGTCAGCAGAGGCCCGGGGCCGCGGCCGGGCTGTGGGGAAGGGGCGGTGGCCTTGTCCTCAGGGACCCTGGCCTCCTCGGCTCTGCCCGGCCCCTCCAGAAGGGGCTCGGCGGGGTGGGGAGGGGCACAGAGGAAGAGGGGCGTCGGTAAGCCTTCAGCAGAGGTGCCGCCTGAGGAACTCTGGGCCGGGCCGGCCCTTGCCATCAGTTTTCCCACGGCAGACAGCGCGCCTGGCGCAGGAGGTGCTCCCAGCGGCCGAGGGGCCCGGCGCGCTCACGGAGCATCCACGTGCAGCGGGTCTGGGTGGGAGCCGTGCGCCTGCGACCAGCCGGGCACCCCGCAGCGACCACCCCGGGCACCCCCTGTCCCGAACAACCGCGAGCACATGCAGAG